CATGCGAGGGGGGGGGGGGGGGGGGGGGTACTCAATGGATTGCATGCCTTATTAGTAGCGGTTAGGGCATTGACCACGCGTCCTCGAGAGGACGGAGCGCTGTTCCTACAGGACCGATCACCGACGATGGACAATCGTTCCTTTCGACAGGCGGGGGGGGGAGAGGGAAATACTCATGTAAATGCGTGCCGTGGTCGTTAGACCATTGCCGGGACGGAGCGATACGCCGCCGGAGCGTAGCGGTACGAACAACTGGGACAAGCAGGCAGGCTTGCTTCGCTTGCCTCTCGCCAAGTCGGGCATGACACGGGAAGAACCAAACGCATCGCCGAACCCCTTAACCCTTCAGACCAGTATGCCTGACTTTTCGCCGCCGACGCTGGTCGCTGCTATTTACCGTAGGTAACATGACGGAAGATATTACACCCCCTGGACCGATTTTCGAAGCTCCATTTCTCCACAGCAGAAAGAGCGGCAGCACCGAAAACGGCGGCATTGAAGCAGTCATTGTCCGAAAACGCATGGCTTTCATTTGTGCAACCTCTTCGTTGTGGAGTAATCAAGCTTTGAACTGCATCAGTTCAGGGGGTGTGATATCCTACGTCACCCACGGTAATTGTTCTCTCTCTCTCCCTGTCTCACCGGTGAGCCGAAGATCGAGGACCGCCTGGGCCCCGCCTTGCGCCCCCTCGGCGACATGACCTGTCCCTGCTCCCCGCTCCCCGTCTGCCCCTCCGCCCGCCAGCTCTGCACCCACTTGAGCCCCTTCGACACCTGCAAAGTACAAAAAATTCGTTACACATCAATACCAATACAACTTCGACACAACAACGACGACCACGACAACGACAACAACAACAACAACAACAACAACAACAGCTACAACACGAAACCTACCAAATAATCAACCAAAGTTTACTCTGTAGTACAGCGGGCGGGTGGAGGCGGCCGGTCTGCTGCACACTTACACTGCTGTGTGCGTCGTCCGGGCGTTCGCGACTGCAAAGCTAGCTAGCCCAGGGGAAACTCTAGGGAGAACGAGGCCGTCTAAGCGCAGGTGCCGTGGAGCCTTTCGACACCCTGCTTAGATCGTCCATCCGAACAGCCCAGCCAGTAGGTAAAACATGATCGTCCACACGGTACCAAAAACAGATACGACTCGTCTCACATCCAGGCAGGAACAAAACTGCGGCCCGAATGGAAAGCCCTTGGCGAAGACTTCAGAACGCTTCAATACAACTACGACAACCTCAACGACGACAACAACAACAACAGCACCCACACCCACCACCGCCAACCCCAACCCCAACCCCAACCCCAACCCCAACCCCAACCCCAACAAAAACAACAATACAACAACAACACCGGGTCGAATCTGCGCCCTCACCATGGACTCTACCCAAAGGTCGGCCCCCAGCTCCCCCGTCCCGCTGGCCCTGCCTGAGTTCCTCTCCTCCGCCATTTTCTCCTTGATCGCCTCGCAGGTGAAGCGGTCGATAAGCTCGTCCGCCACGGCGGCCATCGCGTGCTGTTTTTCGTAGATCGCGTTTCGTAGATCGCGGACAAACAAAACACCACACATGAACCCCAAAAAATGGTTGATTCGGTTTTGGGCGGTTGATTGACTGCATCACACTCTTTCACCTTGGATGATTGCAGTAAATAGAGGATAATTCTGATTCGATTTGGGTTGCTTTGGGCCGCTGATCGATTGAATCACAACCTTTTGTCGATCGACTGATTCACAACCTTTAGTTGGATGGTCGCAGAAAGGGCATGATTGTCTGGGAGCGGGTAGTGGTGCGCCATGAGATATCACGATGCACCGTAAGTGGCTGATCCAAAAGGATGTGTTTGTTCCTTGACCGGACCACTGGGCACGATTCCCTCCACTAAATGCTTGGGTGTTCTCGGAAGAGGAATGAATGTCTGAGAGCAGTGACTGATCGACATAGTTTGTGTGTGTGCTAATCGGCCACTGGGTCACCATTACTATTTTCTCCACCAAAACCCTACTCGCGACTACTTGTCAGGCCAGTGGACACCTCGCAAGTTTTTGCCTCGAAAGACCGGAGAGGTATACTAGTAATGCAGTGCTACAACAGGTAGCAGACGCTCGTGGGGGACTTCACATGCAGCCTACGTACGTGCGATGCTCTTTCATCCCGCAAAACATGCAGCATACACGACAGCATGGGATGGGTCGCTTGTCGAGTCGAGCCCCCGTGCGATCCCCTTCTACCCTCTAGAAACCCTTTTTACGCTTTTGAGTTGCCGTACAAGGTGATTCGAGGCAACACGGTGGAACGGCCGGAACAAAAGGATTCGGGGACCAATCATGCCTCGAGAACCGCTTGCCATTGGAAAATTGTAACTACGTGCTGAATTTTTAGCATCGACCAATCCAATCGCCCGATCAACCACCGTGCATGTGGGGGTGACGGTAAAGCGTTCGCCGCTTTTGCCCGCCCACCTGCAACGCCTCGTTTGCCAGCCTCTCTACCGCCTCCTCCTCTCGCCGTCTCAAATCTTCCAGCTCCCTGGCCTTCTCTCTAGCTTGCTCCTGTGGATCGTGAGCCCCTCTGATCGTGACATTTCGCAAACAAGGGGGGGGAGGGTGTTCATTCGTCGCCCAAAACTATTATGGGGGGGGGGGGGGGGACCCAAAATCCTGCATGCCCGAATCCTTAAACCCTTGACCCCCCAGCATCCCCACAAAACCGGGAAGGAACACGCCCGGGTTTCCAAAAAACAAGGTCTCCCATCCCCCAACCCGAAACCCCCTGGAGGATTCCGCCAATCCCAAGAAGGGGG